CAAGACTATTAGATATTTCAGGCCCTAAATTTTTATCTTTCTTACACTGCTAGACTGCTAATGCTTTTTTGTTATTTCATACTATAAATGCAAGGTTAAGAGGGAACAAATACCTCTAACAAATAGGGCTTAACAAATTTTGGACTCATTTCTCTGTTCTTCTCTTTAAGGACCTATCTCTTTGACCAAGCTGAATGCTAGTATTTTCTTTTCATTCAATGAAGTCGCTGCAAACTCCAGCTACTTCTTTCTGCTTACCTAGATGCAACCATTTATCTGATTGCAAATGGGTAAATGTCCTGGTTTGAAAGGCAGAGCCCACCGTAGTCTTAACTTAGCTTGCTTCCCGTCTCTTTAGCTTTAGAAAAAAGCTAGTCAACTTCAGTTGTTCTTGTAACAATTCAATGATTAATATATTTTATTCAGTTTCTACATTTGTTTTTGGTAAACTGATGTTTGGTAGGGTTTTAAAAAAATTATTGTTTTTTTAGATAGTTTTTGTTAATATAAGTACATTCCCATTTAGTGTTCATTCTAAAAGAAAATTTTTAGAATGTGTATTGAATTTTATAAAATATTTTTCTGCTCTGAAAATATAAAACCATTTTTCCTTCTCTAAAATATTTTCTTGTGTTATGGCATATTTCCATTTCTGGCATATTTCCAGCTCAAATTATATAATGTATTTTAAATACATTATTTTATTGATTATCTAAATTTATGTTTTTTGGAAAAAACTTCTTGATCCTAAGAAGATTGGCTAAATTTCTATTCATTGTTATATGCTCACCAGATTTCAGTAGTTAGGTTTTGGTAGTTTCAAAAAATAAGTTGAGTAATTTTTCCTGTTTTTCTTTTCTCATCATCTATATGGCATAAGAGAGGAAATAAAGACTTGGGAGTAATTTTGTTTGAGTCTGTGTGAGCAAATCTTCCTCCTTTGTTGTACTTTTAAATGTCTGTTGGTTTAGTATGATTTTGTTTCCTCTTGAGTAGATTTTCCCCTTTTATTTTTTCTTATATATATCCACTTCACCTAAGCCTTTGTTCATAAATGATGTATTGCTAGTCTCTTGTTCTTCCTCCTTGTTTCTTCCTAGTCTGGTTATCTCTTATTATGTGGCTTAAATGTTTATAAAAATAAGTAATGTATAGATGAATAGTTTTGATCCAATCATAGTTCCTCTGCCAATTATTCCTTGACATTGTGAGATCTAGACTGTTTTGCCTAGAGGTAATGACTGCTACTAATTAGTGATAATTATTTGTCACTAGGCGAAGAATATTATAGTTATTACTGCCTGCAAGGTTTAAGTTCATTTATGAAATAGAAATTGTTAGTATTTTACATATGAAGGCAACTGAGGCTTGGAGAACTTGAGTAGGTTGCTTGGAAAAATTAAGTAGTTTGGTGGATGTCACAGACAAAATTATAAGATGATCCTGGAAATTCCCATGTACTGTTGTATGCGCCCTGTAAAATCTCCTCCACTTGTGTGTGAGTGAAACTGTATAAATACGATATTTCTTCCATGATTACATTATATGCAAAAAGAGATTTTACAATGTAATTAAGGCCCCCAATAAGTGACTTTCATTTAATCAAACCTGGTTGTCCTAGATGGGGCTGCCCTAGTTAGATGGGCCTTTAACAACACTAGAATTAGCAGCAAAGATTCTCCTCTTGTCCTTAAAAACAAAACAAACTGGCATGCTGTGAGAGGAGGAGGCCCTGTGTCAAAAGCCTGTGAGTACCTTCTAAATGCTGAGAGTAGTCCTTACCTGGTAGCTACCAAGAACAAGAGACCTAAGTCCTACAAGCAGAATGAAATGAATCCTGCTGCAATCATTGAACTTGGAAGAGAACTCTACTTCCCTGATTGAGACCACATCCAAGTCAATACCTTGATTTCAGCGTGGTGAGACCCCAAGCAAAGGATTTAGGTAACTCACACTTGCACACTAACTTATTGAAACTTTGAGACAGTAAATTTATGTTGTTTTAAGACGCTACATTTGTAGTAATTTGTTAGGCAGTAAGAGAAAACTAATGTACCAGATGTCTAGAGATTTAATAAGCAGCAGAGATAGTGTTCAAACATAATCTCTTAACTTCAAAATCCATCGTCACAATTATGCTGTCTATCTTACTTTAATACATTTGTTACTGATAAAAATTCAAAATATCTGTCTGTTGATCTGAAAAAGTGAACTACTATAGAGTTTATGCAATTACAGCTGTCAAACTTGACAGCTTTGTCTTTATTTTTATTCTCACTGGTTGTAGAGTTCAAAATACTAGACCTGTCTTTTTATAGTCTTCTGTCTTTTCTGTCTCATGCATATTTTCAAACTACATAAACTGTTTTATCTAAATTTGGTAGGAAGAGTAATGTCTAATTTGTAGTGAGAGGTAACAAAATTATAAGGATCTAAATTAATAAATCATGCAAACCTTTACTCCTTTTGGTAAATGCATTTTAATGATATTGTCCTGTATCAAAACTGATTCAAAATGTGCTTTCAAAAATAGTATTTTACTTTAATATGTGGTTACTGTACTGAACAGTGCAAATTCAAATAACAGTTATTTTAAATTACTGGAATTAATTATTCAGTGTTGAATGAGAAACGGTTTTGCAGTAAGAATGTGTAAATTCAGGAAAATGCTTTTGAATCAAGTAAGACACTGATGAATAAAAATTCTTGAACTGTGGGTTATTTTCGGTTGCTACTCTTTCTTCATATCTATGTTTTTAAATATTTAATTTTAAAATTCAGTTTTCTTCATCCTTTCGTATTTTTTCTTGGTACATATTTCATCTTATCTGGAGGTTACTGAGCCTGATACTTTAATAATAATGATACCCTGAAATTGATAATGTTCTACTAATTATCAAATTACCAAGAATATTAATAATTATTAGCTTTTAACAAATATATAGATTTAATAGAAAAAGTTGATTTACTTTTTGACTCACTAAATTTGTTTCAAGCTGTTATTGAGGCATCAAAATAAAACCCAGCAGTGTGCTTATGCTTTTGTCTCTACAGAAATAATGTATACCCTTTAATATGTGAAATTTCAGAACATAGCTAATGGGCATGTTCCAAAGATTTTCTGCATGTGCCGTTTATGCTACTGAGTGGGATGATTTTCTCCCATTCACCACAGCTGATGTTGTCTTGACTATTGTAGAATTGCTTTCATTTTAAATAGCATATTCATTAAACAAAATATAATCATTATATTAAATTTTTATGTATGTCTTCTTTTAATGTTTACAAAAAAGAAACAAATAAGCTAAATGCAATCAATGAAAACTGTAAATGTTACCATACTCATGGAAGAAGTTAACAATGTAGGGAGCACAGTACATGAAAAAAATGCTGCTACAATCCAGCAAACCTTGAGTACTATTAGAGAATATTCTGAGGGGAGAATTAGTATGTGTGTCAGGAATAAAGCGCAGTGTTGGTAAGGTGGCTTGCATTCCTGTGCTTTTCACTAGCTATTAAACATGGAAAACCAATGGGCCCTGTTCAACCGAAACATAGTACTGCGTAAAACTTCTTATACATTTAAACTGTTGTAACCTAAATGCACATACATAGGGCGTGCATTTATTTTTCTTCTGATTATTATGTTTCACTGTAATGTTTGTAAAAACATGGCTGTACAAATGTAGCAAAATGATAAAGAATCATTTTGAATTTTGTTTTGGGTACTAACTTCAGCCTTTACATTATTGGTCATATCATATTCTTTTTTTTTATTTAATCAATGTTAATTAAACATACACAGGGTGTTAGATCTGTATGGAATGCTGAGATGTATTAAACTAAGATGTGTTCTTCAATCTCAGGGCTCCTACTCCTCACGTTGTGCTTATAAGTATAGAGACTTCTTAACTCTATTCAAAAATGGAGAAACTGGGTTGGCATTATCTAACACACCTCTGTCAAATAGAAATTAAATGAGATCCATGTTTTTTATTTAACTATTCTAGTAGCCATTACAAAAACAGTTAAGGACATAAATGAAATTAATTCGAATTAATATATTTTGTTAAACTATGTCAAAATGATTTCGATTTCAACCAAATGTAAGTAATAAAAAAATTTTAGTGAGATAGTTAGCATTCCTTTTTTAATACTAAATTTACAAAATTCAATGCGTATTTTATATTTATAGCACATTTCAATTGGTACTAGCCATGTCTCAATGCTTTATAACCACACGTGGCTACTGTATTGAAAAGTGCAGATTTAAATAACAGTTAACATTGATTTTAGCATTTTAATAATACTTTATCTAGATTTTCTGCAGACAAAAGCCCAAATTTTAATTTTTGACAGGAGCTCTATTCTTAAAAAATATTTTTTATAGAAAGTATTTTCCCAGAGTAATTTAAATTTTTTGTTTATTAGTTTGCCCGATACTAGGAAAGCAAAATTTTACCTCTAGTATTTTTAATTACATTGTCATAGGACCACTCTCTCCTTCAGAAAAACACCATGAAAAGTTTTATGATTTTAATTGACCAAAAGTTCTGTAATTTATTTATTTTAAATATTTATTTATAACAACAAACATGTCAAAAGTTTATTTATAGTTATGTTTTTAACTTGTGAGCTAGTTGCTGAGTTGCTGAATTATTTAGTTATAATCTGTCATCAACCATATTACTAATATGCTATTTTTATTTTAAAACATTTAATAAGGGTGATAATTCTACATTGTGAGCATAATGCATAAATCTTCAATACCTTCTGTAGAATTGATTGACTTAAAAATTTTGTTGAATTAGATACTAAAGAATACTGTTCATACAGTTTTTTAAATGTGGTAAAAGTCATTTTGGGTGAGCATTGACATTTCTATAAAACTAAAAAAGGCATAAATTGACAGAGAGATTAAAATAGGTAGGAGTAACCTCTGCATTGTAGGCTTAATTGTAAGAAATAGCCTAAAAATATATAATTTCATATTCCCTTAGAGCTTCCAGTGTGTGTGCCTTTCTGGCTGGGAACAAAATTTTTGTGAACAAGAATCCAATGAGTGTGAAATGAATCCTTGCAAGAACAATTCCACCTGTACTGACCTTTACAAAAGCTATCGGTGAGTAAAATATTTTTAGTTTTCTTCATGAAATTACTTGGAGTGCTCAGTGTCCTTGGAATATATCCAGACGTTATTTTCACTTTAGATACATTTAATTAAAATAACCACCCAGAGATGAAGAGCCATTCACTGACAAGATAGTGTCACAATCATTTTAAATACTGAAGACCAGATGTCAAGACAACAAAATATGAACAGTTTTAACTTGAAAATGCAATATTCAGATATGGTAAAAGATACAAATGCATTTACTTCTTCAAAACATGCTTTTTCCATTTTAACATTGTTTTGTACTTTTCCATACAGTATGAGAACTAACACACTATCACAAAAAAGGAGTGAGTTCGCTAAATTAAAACTTCCAATTTATTACTTAGTGATTATTATGGTTTGGATTATTTTAGTATAATTTTAAAAATATTTTACAGCATATATTACCCACATATTCCGTAATTCACTTGTATTAATTAGTTCTTTGATGAGAATTCTGAAGAAATTCTGAGAAGATGTTTATGTCTTTTGTCCACTTCTTAATGGAGTTGTTTTCTACTTGTAGAATAAATTCCTTACAGATTCAGTGTATTAGACCTTTGTTGGATGTAGAGATTTTGAGTATTTATTCCTATTCTGTCACTTGTCTGTTTACTCTGTTCATAGCTTCCTTTGCTATACAGAAGTTATTTAGTTTAATCTCAACTTGTCAATTTTTGGTTTTGTTGCAATGGTTTTTGAGGACTTAGTCATAAATTATATTTTTAAAGCTGATGTCCAAAATGGTGTTTTCTGGGTTTTCTTCTAGGATTCTTATAGTCAGAAGTCTTATATTTAAATATTTAGTCCATCTTGGATTAATTTTTTGTATGTAGTAAAAGGTAAGGATCCAGTTCCTGTCCTGTGCATATGGATAGCCAATGATCCCAGTACCCTTTATTGAAGTGTGTCCTTCCCCCACATTGCTTATTTTTGTTGATTTGTCAAATATTAGATGGCTGTCAGTTTGTGGGTTTATTTCTAGGTTTGCTATTCTGTTTTACTGATCCATGTGTCTGTTGTTGTTGTTTTACTAGTACCATGCTGCCATGCTGTTTTGGTTACTGTAGACTTACAGTGTAATTTGAAATCAGATAACATGATGCCTCCAGCTTTTTTTTTTCTTCTCTAAGATTGTGTTGGTTATTCAGCCTCTTTTTTGGTTTCATATACATTTTAGGATAGTTTTTCTCTAATTCTGTGAAAAATGGCATTGGTAGGTTGATAGGTTGAATCGGTGCATTGCTTTGGGCATTATGGCCATTTTAATGATATGGAGTCTTCCAAGCCATGAACACAGCATATTTTTCCATTTGTTTATATCATTACTGATTTATTTTAGCACTTTTTTGGAGTTCTCGGTTAGATGTATTTCTCGGTTGTTGTTGGGGTGCGTGTGAGTATGTGCTATTGTAAATGGGATTGCATATTGTAAATGGATTCTTGATTTGGCTCTCAGCTTGAATGTTACTGGTGCATAGAAGTGTTACTGATTTTTATAAACTGATTTTGTATTCTGAAACTTTACTGAAATTATTTATCAGTTTCAGGAGTCTTTTGGTGGAGTCTTCAGCATTTTCTAGGTCTGGAATCGTATCATCAGTGAAGAGTGTTAGTTCGACGACTCCTATTTCTATTTGAATGCCTTTAATTTCTTTCTCTTTCCTGATATCTCTGGCTTAGACTTCCTGTAGGAGTTGTGAGACTGGGCTTGTTCCAGCCTTCCAGGGGAATGCTTGTAGATTTTGCCCATTCAGTATTATGTTGGCTGTGGGTTTATCATGCATGGCTCTTATTATTTTGAGATATGTTTCTTAGACCCCTACTCTCTTTGGGGTTTTTAACATGATGTTGAATTTTGTAGAAGAATTTTTCACTTCTATTGGGATCATCATGTGGTTCTTGTTTTTAATCTGTGTATGGGGTGAATCACATTTATTGATTTGTGTATGTTGAAGCAACCTTGTATCCAGAAATGAAGCTTACTCAGTAAATTAACTTTTTCATGTGCTGCCATATTTGGTTTCCTACTATTTTGTGGAAGATTTTTGCATCTGTGATCACAAGGTGTGTTGGCCTGTAGTTTTCTTTTGTGTTGTATCTTTGCCAGGTTTTGGTATCTGGACAATACTGGCATCATAGAATGAGTTAGGGAGAAGTTCCTTATTGATTTTTTTGGGAATAGTTACAGTAGAATGGGTACCAGCTCTTCTTTTTACATCTGGCAAAAATTTAGCATGTATTCATCTTGTCTGGGGCTTTATTTTGTTGATAGTTTTTTTTTTTTTTTTTCTGATTCAGTTTCAAAATTTGGCATTTACAGGATTTAAATTTCTTCCTCATTCAATCTTTGGGAGGTTGTGTGTTACCAGTTATTTATCCATTTCTTTTAGCTTTTCTAGTTTATGTGTATGGAAGTATTCATAAGGGCCCCTCAGAATCTTTCTACTTCTGTCGGATCAGTTGTAATGTCACCTTTGTCATCTCTGATTGTACTTATTTGGGTCTTCTTTTTTTCTTTGTTGATGTAGCTAGTGGTTTATCTTGTTTATACTTTCAAAAACCCAACTTTTGCTTAAACGGACTCTTTCCATGGATTTTGGGGTCTTAGTTTTGTTCACTTTTGCTCTGACTTTAGTTATTTTCTTTTGCTATGTTTGGAATTAGTTTGCTCTTATGTTTCTGCTTTTCCAAGTATGATCTTAGATTATTAATTTGAGATCTTTCTAACATTTTGAGACACATATTTAACAAGTGGCCAATGAACATATGAAAAAATTCTCAATGTCACTAATCATGAGAGAAATGCAAATCAAAAGCACAGTGAGATAATAACTCACACAAATCAGCATTGCTATTTTCAAAATGTTGAAAAAGCAAGAGATTCTCATGAGGCAATAGAGAAAAGAGCATGTTTAAACACTGTTATTCAGAATGTAAATTAGTTCAGCTACTATGGAGAACAGTTTGGAGTTTTCTCAAAAACTCACAACAGAACTGCCATTTCATCCAGCAATCCCATTACTGGGCATATATCCAAAAGAAAATAAATCGTTCTACCGAGAAGATACATGCACTCATATAGTCATTTCAGCACTACTCACCATAGCAAAGACATAGAACTAACCTAGGTTCCAATCAACATTGAATTGCATGAAGGAAATGTGGTCCATATACACCATGGACTGCTATGCAGCCATAAAGAACAAAATCATGATTTTTGCAGCGACATGGATCAGCGTGAAGCTATTATCTAGGTGAATTAATATAGAAACAGAAAACCAAATACCACATGTTCTCACTTCTAAGAGGAAGCTAAACCCTGGGTACTCATGGACATAAAGATGGCAATGATAAACACTGGAGACTTCCAGAGAGGAAAGCGGAGGAGGTAAGTACAGATTGAAAACCTGACTGTTGGGTACTATGCTCACTACCTGGTTGATGGGGTCACTTGTACCCCAAACCCCTGCATCATGCAATATATTCATGTAACAGTTGCACATGTACTCCCTGAATCTAAAATAAAACTTGAAGTTATTTTTTAAAAAATGATGAAACACACAAAAAAAGAAATTCTGTGTATTTACTATTATTCCAAAAGCTTAATAACCAAATATATATTGGTAAATAATTTATATGCGTGTGTGGTAGAGTCTCACTCTGTTGCCCAGGTTGGAGTGCAGAGGTGTGATCTTGGCTCACTGCAGCCTCCACCTCCTGGGCTCAAGTGATTCTCCTGGCTCAGCTTCATAAGTAGCTGGGATTACAGCTGCCTGCCACCATGCCTGGCTAATTTTTGAATTTGTAGTAGAGATGGGGTTTCATCATGTTAGTCAGGCTGGTCTCTAACTCCTAATCTCAAGTGATCTGCCCACCTCGGCCTCCCAAATTGCTGGGATTACAGACAGGAGCCACCATGCCCATCCCTTGGTAAATAATTTTTAATCCTATATTTGTTTGGTATACATTGCATCTCTCATGTAGATGGATAATCAAGTATATTATAACTAAATCGTTTGCATGTTCAGAAGGAGATTAATTGCATACAAATATACTCAGATAACTGTTTTCCAGAGAAAATTGTTAAAATTATTTCAGAATGTCCTCCAAAATAAATCATACATTCTCTTTTGCCTTGTGATTAAGGTTGAGAATTCTGGATTATCTCATGCCTGTAAAACTTTTCAAAATGTTTCTAAATTTTTGCTGATTAAAGTGGGTTATAATGTGCAGACTATTCTGCAGTAGACAGTTTGCTTTATTGAAAAGAATTCAGAATAGTTGGCAATAATGGGATAGATACTAGGTGACAAAAAGGAAGATAAATGAATAATTTTGGTAACATAGAAAAACTCACAATGCCAATAGTTAGGATTAGTTAAAAATATAGAAAAATATAAAGAACAAGATATTTTTCATGACTTTAGCAATAACTAAAGTTGATGTATGAACACAAATTGATATTAATAACCTTTCCAACTGTGTAGTAGGAGAAATAAACTTTTGATAAACCAAAAAATAATCTTCATTGTTAACTATATTTTATTTTTCTTACATCAACTAATTGTAAAGTATAATACATAAATTTTCTAGTATTTCTTTCATTGAGACTCATATATCCTTTCTTTAGCATTTAGCTCTTCCTATAATTTCTTAAAATAACTTGGGTATGTGCGAATTGATGTTGTTGGCAGTCACCAAACACCACTGGGAACAGAACTGAGGTTGAAAAAGTTGAGTTTTGGCCAGATGCAGTGTCTCAGGCCTGAAATCCCAGCACTTTGGGAGGCCGAGGCAGGAAGATCATGAGGTCAGGAGTTCAATACCAACCTAACCAGTGTGATGAAACCCTGTCTCTACTAAAAATGCAAAAAAATTAACTGGGTGTGGTGGAACAAGCCTGTAATCCCAGCTACTCAGGAGACTAAGACAGAAGAATCGCTCGAACCTAGGAGGCGGAGGTT